AATGAGGTTTGGTAGATTGAAGAATGTTTATCTTTGAATAGATTTAAATTGAAAGTAGAATTTTAGACTTTAGAATGAAGAAAAAAATATTTTTTTAGCAAAATTAGGTACCCAGTGTAGAAGTTCCATACCTTTATTTTTTTTACACGCACACTTTTTTTTAAAGCGATCAAAAGATCTGTGCTCAAAACACCTTGATGAACTATTTCAATCATGCTGTTTTCTGAAATGTTCAATTTTCTCAACAATGGATACATATGTCGTAAATTTTCAGCTTCTCAAAAAATTGCATGAAAAAAAAAAACTTTTCAAATACTGTAACCATGTTAACCCTTTCAATATGCTTGTGAATCCTAAGTTTTTAAGCTCATTTGAGTTTTTCGGGTTTCCTTATCACGATACGTCTGTCGTCCATCTGTTTGTGTGGACACTTTTTAAAATTTTTAACTTTTCTACAACCACTGGGCCAATTTTAATCATTTCACATAGAAATCAGTATATGTCCATCCGTATGTCAGTCTGTCAATTTAACCTTGGTCATCACGGTCAAATCTATTGAATGAGAACAGACAAGACATTTGTTTTAAAAATATGTATAATCAGTATCTACCTGTGACAATGGCATGATTTTTTTTTACCAATGACCTTGAATTTTGACCTACTTGCAAAAAAATTACATTTTCTCAAATTCATCATTTTGATAGAATTCATATTATACATGCATGTATATTATTACCTATGCTAAGACATCTCTAAATAAATCATGAACCTGTGACCTTGACCTTGAAGCTTAACCTACTTTTCAAAATATTGCATTTGCTTATAACTTTTGATTGAGAAGAGATGTGACTTTCACATTACTCGTAAGAATTCAAGATGTTTTCCAGCTTGCTACGATTTTTTTACCCTATGATGTTGATGTTTTACCTAATTTTCAAAATATTTAACTCTCCTAAAAGATGATCATGCTACTGATTTGACCCCCCTCCGGGCAAAATCAAAATACCGAAATCTTACTGCACATCTACATGACACCACCAATCATCTCCCAAAAGATGATTAGGCTGCTGAGTGAAATGTAGAAGAAGTTAAGGGAAGACGGGGCTATTTGCATAAAAAATGTCATTTTTCGACCCCATTTGACCCCTTGGTGCAAAATGAAAACTCCAAAACCTTACTGTACATCTACATGACATCATCAACACCTCCCAAAAGATGATTAGGCTACTGATTAAAACGTAGAAGGAGTTCAAGGAAGACGGGAAATTTGCATAAAAAAGTCATTTTCGACCCCCTTTCGACACCCCGGGCAAAATAAAAATACCGAAATCTTACCGCACATCTACATGACACCACCAACCATCTCCCAAAAGATGATTAGGCTTCTGAGTAAAATGTAAAAGGAGTTCAGGGAAGAAAAGTGTGACAAACGGACGGACGACCGGACAGACATGAGTAACAGCAATATACCCGAGATATCTTTAGAATGTGCATGTATAAAAACAAAACACGCAATAATATATGCTTCTCTGTTGTACACATCAGCCCCGAAAAAAATCCTAACTTTCTATTTAAGAATGTATCTCTGAAAACTATAAATATCTTCCAAATGGATTATTGTCTTATAGTAAAATAATTTTTAAACACTTATCTGGTTAGATAAAAACAAACGACAGAACTATATCACCTGTAGAAAGTGACCTCCATTTAAGCTCACCTGAACTGAAAGATGACGTGAGCTTTCTCCATCCCATTGCATCCGTAGTCCATCTGTCTAGCTGTCTGTCTGACCGTCTGTAAACTTTTCACATTTTCGACTTCTTCTCCAGAACCCCTGGGCCAATTTGAACCGAACTTGTCACAAAGCATCCTTGGGTAAAGGGGATTCAAATTTGTTCAAATGAAGGGCCACATTCCACTTTAAGGTAAGATAATTGGGTATTAGAGAAAATTAGTTGGCATGTTTTAACAATCTTCTTCTGAAAAGCCACTGTGGCTGGAACGATGGAACTTATGGGAAACTATCCTTGGGAAGTGTAAATTCAAGTCTGTTCAAAGAGTTCGGGACGATCACAGTTTCACATAGAAATAGATAAGAAAAGTATTTAAAAATCTTCTTCTCAAGAACAGCAAAGCCATGTTTATACAAAAAAAATCATATAAAATAATTGAGAGCTAATGTCGTCCTTTCAATGCAGAAACAATTGTTTAAAAAAGTTGACTCAAAGATCTATCAAATAAAAAGTTGGCGTAGCATACCTCCTTAAGGAATTGTCATGAAATCCTTGCATTGGCTGAATAAAAAATTTGTCATTGCATTGTATTGCAAGTTTATTTAGTTTCCTAGTTTTATTAAAAGACTTTTTATATTCTTCTAACACCAAGTTACCCTAGTCAATTACATCTAGCACAATTTCGACTGCATATTTGATTAAAATACAATACAAATCAAAATGAAAAAATGCAAAAAAAAAATGAATAGACATCATGTTATTCTTTTCGGGAAAAGTTATGTGATATGATTTTGGCAATTAGTGAATAAATGATAACATTTGTTTTGGGCTACTTATGTAGTCAAAACAACTTTCTTCGGATATCTATTTATTTTTTTTCCATTTGGTACTAGAGCTCAACATTTCTTTCCAAAACATTGAAATTCCATTAAATATAAAATAATTTAGATAAATTTTAAATTTGCTGAGAATCCATCATGAGTTTATAGATATTACACTAGTATTTGTAACTCACATAAAAATATAATATTGAATGACAACATTGATATTTGAACGCTTTAGACAACATATTCTCATAGATACAGAATATTTGTAAAGGAAGCGTAGAGAAAAAGCTTGGCTATCACCAAATTTATATACATTTATCATACACTTATATACAGGTCACAGTAGCTGAGTGATGTAAGTTTATTACAATGTCTACATGATTGTTAACCTACCTGTAACTGATGTGAAATGACTGAGTATTTTATGTAGGTCTATGACAATGCTTGTATGAGTTTTATCCTACCTGTACCTGATCTGAAATGACTCAGTATTTGATGTAGGTCTATGACAATGTCTATGAGTGGTAACCTACATGTAATTGATTAGAAATGACTTAGTATTTGATGTATTCTATGACAATGTCTAAATGTGTGCTCATCATTTTTTTTCACATGTAAATTTGATATTTTTTTATTTATGTCATAGAACTAATTTTTGGAAATGGCACCATTTTTTTTTCTTATTTTGCATGTTACTATTAAGTGTTTTGATTACAATATATCTATAAACTAGGTAATGTATACTGCTTATCTTTTTTTATGTTTGAAGGAAATTTTAAGTTATCTCATTTATATATCCTTCTGAAAAGAAGCAATATGTTGTATTATAACAGCCCTGTATCACATCTACGGCAACGCGCCGTTGCCATATAGAAAGTCTATCCTTAAATGTTTTGTTTTTTGATGTTTTTATTCTAATTTGATATCATACTAAGTTGCCTATGGCACACCCACTCACAAAACACAAGTAAAGAAATGAAGACTGGAATTGGTCTTTTGTTTTCATGGATTTATATATTAATTATAATATGATTAACATTTTAATTATATATTAATTATATATTGTCTGACGACTAAATCCAGCCCCTAATATTTTTATTACTGAAAATGAAATTAAGTGGAGACTTGCTTTAGTCGGTGAATATATGAAATAAAAATGCCATATAGTATAAATAAAAATAAAAAGTAAATAACCAACTCTCCTTTTACTTTTTATTGTCATGTATTTGATTTATATACCCCAAGTCCAAAAAGAAGCATCTTTACTTCTTATATTAATATTCTGTTTATATTTAGAAGAATCATCTTTCCATCTTTTATTAATATTCTGTTCGTTATTTATAAATCCCAGACACGAAAAGATTGTGTATATATAAAGTTTTTGCATGTTTTGATTCATTTCTAAATATTAATTTTAAGAAATTTTTATATCTTAAGTTTACATCCAATAGCTTACTTTGACATCATATTGTATAGGCAAGTGCAATACTTGTTTGTAGCCTTAATATTCCCAAACACATTTTCATTTTAATATCTTGAATCAAAAAATCAACAGTTGTGGTAATATACATCAGATTCAACAAATCAATATTTTAATGAATGAAATGGAGTACGTAACCATTAGCCAATCATTTTCAGTAATTGATGTTTATTTTGTTATTTATATTTTGCGTTTTGTATGCTAAATTACAAATTTCTACAGGTACCCAATAACGCAGCCAGTAGCTTAAAGTACAAATTACGATATGGGTGCTCTTTGTGCAATTGTTTTAGTTTTGGTCTTTTTTGCGGTGTGCCAGTCTACCATGATTTCGAGGAAATACACCGCAAATCTGGAAATGGATAATAAGAAATCAAATGAAGACCTTTTAGGAGAACACAAGTCTACATCAGTTATAGAGTGTGCAGCGCGATGTCAAAGGGAGTGTAGTTTCTATGGGTTTAATCCTCAAATGAAGAAATGCCGCACCCACAAGACAAATTTCACGTCAGGAGTGTCTTATGAGGATGGCTGGAGTTACTACTCACAAAACTGTATGTATATCAGGGTTTTTTTGTCATTTGCCACAATATAAATTATTATTATGAATTTTTTATCGCTTAATACTTATCACTTCAATTTCTCTAATAAGAATATACTTGTTAATGTACTTCACTAACTAATGTTAATTAAGTTAACTAACTTAGCTTTAATAACAGATTACCTTAATCATTTTAAGAGCTATAATATATCCTCTTGTATATGCATAGATTGATTCCAGTATTATTTCTATAAGTTATTTCTGTACATTGTCTATAAATAATAGGATTCCAGTATTATTTTTTAGCTATCTTTTATGGAATGTGAGTTTTTTTTTCTGCTTTAGTCATTCCAATAGATTGTAAGGATCTTCAGTCAGATGGATACTTTAATACAGGTGTGTATGAAATCTACCCTTACGGAACCATTACCAGTCCTGTCCAGGCGTACTGCGATATGACCACAATGGACGGGGGATGGACGGTATGTAAATGATTTCTATTTAAGGGTATATTGTACAATTCATATTCACACTCAATGTTTTTGTTTTTGTTGATTAACAGAATATAGATTGAAAAAATGAATAATTTCATATTATGTCATAACATATCGATCACACAGCTGTTTAAACAAATGATTTGCAATACGTGTTAACTTTAAAGGCAATACAAAAACGAATTACTGGATCCCTGGACTTTGACAGGACATGGACGAAATATAAAAATGGTTTTGGTTCACCGGAACAGGATGTTTGGGTTGGTAAGTGTACATTGCTTTCAAATAGGAACTTTTTATTCCCTCAAAGTTTGAAAAAAAATCGTGCGGCAGGTATAATACAGGAAATGAACTTATCCATCTGTTAACAAAAGAAAACTCGGCCCTTTATGTGTCCATCACTCTCCAGAATGGTACAACGCTGTATGAAATATACGATAGATTCTCTGTCTCCGACGAAGCAGGAAAATATCAACTCTTTCTTGCAGGACCTGCCACGGGGACCCTAGGTAAGTGTATTCATGTTATTTCTTAAAATTAGGTTCAAATTATGTATATCATCATGATTATTCTTTTCTGTATTAAAGATTGTAAAGTTCTTAAAAAAAGGGAAAGATGTTTTTTTTCTGATATTCTGTATACGTTTTTGATTCCACGTTTATTAAACGTTTAATATTTCAGAATATTATTTGCAGGTACAATTCACATATTCAGCAGATATTAAATTTTTTATTGTTAAGAGGCAGTCCATCGAAAAACCAGGCAGTATTGTATTAATAGGCGGCACATCGAATGTGACGTATATTTGATATTTTATTAAAAACAATATCAATAAAAACAATATCAATGTAGTTCAAAAGGAATAATGTAGGTCAGAAACAAAGAACTGTAATTTCTAATACATTTTAAACAGGATTATATTTCACACTTCACAAAATCTATAAATATTTTATCTTTTTCTTTAAAAAATAAAATCGGGTGGAAAAACAATTTTGATAGTAGTTTTCTGGCAAAATATATAGACGTTTTTGTGAAGTTTGTGATGCAAGAGTTATCTCCCGTGACATTGGTAAAATCTGCTAAACACATTTTTATCGGAATCCTAGTGAAAAAGTTAGAATCGATACAATTTAGAAAATTATTAAACCAAAAAAAAAACTAATTTATTTTCAAAATATAATTAATTTTCGCCCCCCAAACGTAAAATTTAGATAAAAATTGGCTAATTAATCAGTTTGAAATCACGTTTCCATTTATTTATCAGTGACGTCATATACCTGACTAATATTGAGTCACAATGAAATTTTGCGAGTTTTCCAGAGAAGTTAATAAATTCTTTGCGTAAATGTAAAGAAAAAAAATTAAATGATTTCTTTTTTTCTGTGTAACTACTCTGCCGAATCCATTTTTATATAAAATTCTTAGATGTAATAAACAATTCCGTTTTGATAAGTAAAAAAATAAATGATTGAAACTTTTTTTTTCTGTGTAACTATGATTTGCCGAATAATTAATTTTTATATAAAACATTCTTATAAAGTTTAAACAATTGGATGTTTTGATTTACACAACACTTTTATTACATGTGATGAAATGTTTACTTCATGATATTTGTAAAAACTATTTATTTTATCTGATTTACTATGATTTGCGTAAGAATAATTAAGGAAGTGTTTAAAAAAAAAAATTCTTATAAAATGTGTTATAAAAATATATTTGTTTTAGATTACTGACAACATTTTATAATTTGAAACTAAAACTGAAGATATTTGTAAAAAGTGAAAATATATTTATCTTTATTATTATCAATTTTTTTTAATTAGTGCGATTGAAACAATGGACACACTCACATTTAAAATAAAGTTTAAACATGAATACCCCCTGAAAAATTCTAAAAATACATTTTTTAAATAATTACTGCATGAACTCCCCCTTATGCTTTTTGCACTTGCGATATATCAGCTCTTATTTAAACACTATATCAGTTATTTTCTTATTTATATAAAATGAAAATTTGTAAAAGAGGACATTATTTGTTTTAATAAGGCAATGATTGAATAAAAAAAACTTTTTACATTTAAAATAGTTTAAACATAAAAATATTTTCTGCAATTTAGCCAAGTTTTCGTCACTGATAAATTTTTTTTTTAAAATAAAAAAAGAAATTTTACTTGGAAATAAGATAATGAAGTTAGAAAATTGTTGCTCTCAGATGTTGCGATAATGCATGTACAAATACATTTTTTGAAATAATGATAATAATCAGTTATTTACATGTAATCTTTATATAAATATCAAAATTTTAATATACACATTGAATCTATAAGTTACACTCATTTAAAAACAGAAAACTGACTGAAAAGAAATAAAAAAAGCATATTTTTTTCGTGATAAATTATAATGAAGATATTTCTAAATTTAAAAGCCAAGTTGAAATTACCGATCCCGATCGAAAATAATGCAAAATTAATCAATTTATTAAAGGCACCTGCCACCTATATAACAGGTAAAAAATAAAAAAGTAATCTTTTAACAACATTGGAAAAAAGAGCCAAATTTAATGAAGATAGAAATACTGTCTATTTCAGTAATGTGTGGAATGCATGTACAAAAACACGTGTTTTTTTACAAATTACTAAGTGTGAAAACCAAAACATGCAAAAAAACAATAAGATTTGAATGTCGTGAACACGGAAAAATAATTTCCGGATTACTTAATAATACACTACATTAACAAACCAGTTTAATATACGGTTTAATTTGGGAAAAATCATAGATAAAAGGTAAATTTGACTCCTTTTATTTCTCTCAATATTCCTGTCGCCGAAATATGGCTGAAATACTGCCGACTCGGCGTTCAACAATAATAATCAATAACAATCAATATAATGTTCCCAAGATTTTATTAATCAAAAGTTAAACTTTGTATTTTAACATGAGGAAAAAATGTGTCATAGTAATGTATTGGATTTTATAACGTATCGAAAATTTGATACTGAATTCAAAAAGTCACCTGTAAACTAAATTTTGGACCACATATTTTTTTTCTTAAGAAATATAATTTGGAGTCTTATTCATTATAAAATAAAAGATAAGAGTCTATGCTATAAATGATATTGATTGACACATTCAGCATCTGAGTATCTGTTGCATATAAAACTAAATAAAAACGTAGTAATTTTTTTACCCTCATGTTGACCTTTTTGCATTTAAAATTAGGCATTTACCAAATGGACTAGAGGACCACTAAATTTTTTTTTATGTTTTCATGTGTAAACACTTACTTTACTAAGTCTACATGCAAAAAATAATTAAAATTCATGACATGAGATGTGCCACCTATTGCCTGGTTTTTCAGTGGACTGCCACTTAAATACTAGTAGATAAAATTTCTTATTATACATTTTATGTACAAGAAAAATTATTTTAATTTTCTTTAACAAACAAATTCAATAATAACATCTGTTCAACATTGCTATTTAGCTTGGGTTTCTTGATAATTTTTGATAAATTACATTTTAACTAATACGGAAAAAGTTTACAGAGTATGATAGTCTGATTTTCAATGATTTATATTTTTTCTACCACGGAATAGGAAAATTACAGTGCGTCATTAATCCTAAATGTCGAAAGGTTTACGAAAATTCGATGATAAAAAGATTTTGATCGGTTAAATATTCAAATAAAAAAGCTTAAAAAGCCAAATTCAAAAGACCTCAACGCGTTTCACATTTACATTTTTATAAAACTAGTAGGAAATCTACCATCTTAAAACATTCACAGAAACACCATATCTTATCTCGTTATTAATGATTTACTTAGTATTGCATGTAATACATGTTTGAAGGCACGGTCTCGGACAAATATTAAAATATCATTTTTTCATATTTTCTAAAATTTCAAATGACCTTTAACCCCCCCCCCCCCCCCCAACAATACCATGCTTAAAAGCGTAACACGTCTGTTGTTTATTGTTATACTAGAGAGGATGCTATGTGAATTGTGTAATGTTTTGTTGTCTTGTATTATTTTGGATGCTATGTGAATTGTGTAGTGTTTTGTTGTCTTGTATTATTTTTATCTCTCCGTACAGGAATCAACACGTTAAACAATGTATTTCAGACGTACTTCAGTATTAAGATTAATTTGATGTAAATGAATGATTATTATCTCTGTTATATATTTTCTCTAATTCTGCAGATGCCAGTATGATAGACACCAGGGATTCTACGGCTGAACTAAATAAATATTATCGCTCTACCCAGCACCTAAAGCCGTCTATCTTAGAAGTACCTCAGTATTATTATTGACAATTAGATTAAAAATATATAAATCAATTAACTTTGTGATTCTTTTTGTTTGATTTTACAGGGGACAGTATGTTAAATACAGGTTTTATTTTACCACGATCTGTCTGGGATGTTCTTCTCCACCCAGACAGAGGTCACGACGAGTATAGTGGATATAAATCTACTGATCTATTTTAAACAAGTGTCCATGTATATTTTTCTTTTTTAATTCTACAGGAGACAGTATGTTGGACACTGGTTATTCTAACTTAGATCTGTCTGGGATGTCCTTCAGTACCCCAGACAGAGATAACGACGTAGGTGCTGGTAACTGTGCTGTTTACAGTGACCGTAGAGGAGGCTGGTGGTTTAACTTCTGTCACCGAGCCTTCCTTAACGGTCAATGGTCCCCGGAGTCCTGGTACAGACCATGGTACCCCACAGTAACGAGTGGGACATCAGTGAAGGGGACCACCATGATGGTCAGACGGTACTAGGTAAACATCATTACATCTTAATATCCATTTTTTTTTCTTTTTGTATTACTCTGAAAATTTTCAGTTATAAAAGTTGTTTTTTTAATAGAAAAAATATGCTATCATACATTTATCTGTGAAGTATTAATTTTAATTTTTTTTTTAACAGACGAAAGATCATCCATGGATTACGGAAACCCCCAAGAGACGATTTTAAATTAATTTTTATCGCTGAGTTTTTTTTTAATATTTAACATCAAGTAACAAACAGTAAAAGAAGGTGGTTGAACGGATTTGCAAAGCGATACTGGATGTATTCAGTAAAAGATGTATTTTATATGTGTTGTAATAAATTTGAAAATAGAAATATTTCGTTCTTTTTTCCAAACACTGATAAATGGAGATAACTGGGCGGAGAATTAGGATGAAGATTACTTTATTGTTAAACCTATTACAGTGGAACCTGTTTAATCCGACACATGCAATACTCTTTACTGTGATTTCAGCCATTTAATTTCATTTGTCATTTATAATTATCTCAATGATCTTTACACGCTGCAATACTACATCTTGTTTATTCCAACACATATATTTTTAATCTGTTCCCCGTGCATGTCGGATAAAACAAGTTTCATTGTAATAAAGATGTTAAGATATATTTTTTTTAAATCGACTGTAATTTTTTATTGTGTGTTTTTTTTTTATTTCAAAACACTCTAACACAGATCGGGGATTAAAAGGTTACATTTGTAATACGCGTTTTATTTTGACGTCACAAATCTTAAAAGCAAAATTTGAGATCATTTAAATTCATTATTTAGGTTAGAGATAATTTAAGTAGGTTAGAAAAAAAATCAAATTTGCAAAACAAGACAAGGAGTTAGAAAAAAAAATGAGCACCGATTCATTATTTTTTGAAAGATGTTATCTTATATTTACAACTGCTTTTGCAAATAAAAAGCAAGCTAACATTAATCAATATGTTTGCTAAAACTTTTGTAATTATGAGACTACATCTTTAAAAAATGATTCAATATGTGTGACAAGTCATTCTCCTTTATGCAATGTGTATACGATGGTTTATATACTAGTATATCCAAAAATTTGATAGACTACAACTTGAAATTTGTTATTAAATCAATAGGAAAAGTTTTAGGAGCTAATGATAAAAATTCAAGAAAAGTTTGTGAAACAAAGAGGCTTATGATAAATGTTGTCGTTTGCAGGTCAAACACCAAGGTCAATATAAAAGTAGTTTTGGTACCAAAAGAAAAGTTCCTCACAATGAGTCTACCTTCTAAAATAAAAACCATAAAAGCAGCAACAGTTCAGTAATTATGACCAAAGTTAGAGATTTTCAAAAGTAGGTCAAACTGGACAAGGTCAAGGAGTCAATATTAATGATGCACAAAAAAATTTCAGAAAGAATACACAGGTGAAATTTAAAAGTCACGAAATCAACCATTCAAAAGTTATTACCAAAGTTTTTCAAAAGAGGTCAAAGTCTGATGTCCAAATAAAAGGATAAAAATATAAAAAGAAAATATTGGTATTCAAGAGAAGCTCTTACCACAAGAAATGAACCCGTAAAATAGTTAACCCCTAGCACAAAATATTCAGTAAATACGTCCAAAGTTAACGTTTTTGAAAAGTAGGTCAAATCCATAAGATCAAGGTTAAAGGCCATTACTGTTTGTACTCAAGAGAAAATCTTATCAAAATATGAGCGTAAGGAATATAATATCACTTGATTTAACCGTGTAAAAGCTATGCTAAGCTTTAAATTTTGAAAATTTCCTTAAAAGTGAGTCAAACATAAAGGAAAAAGTCATAAATATTTTTACCCTAGGAAAAGTTTTTACACATTGAATACACCAGTGAAATATTAATCCATAGTTCATGTGACCAAGGCTCAAATTCCAAATTCCAAATTGACCGTCAAAATAAAGAAAAAAACCTGTGAAATATGAAATTCATAGCTCAAACCAATTAAAGGCTGTAGTCAGGGCTAATTGATTTCCCCACTTACAGATAAATCAGGAAAAAAAATAACAAACAAACAGACAACTGGACCGACCGTCCTAGGAAAATATATTTGCCCCTTATTTTTTGGATTACGGATAGAAATTTTAAAAACAACACTTTGTGCTAAAATGTTTGTATGTATGGTGAGAGGAGATCCCAGTCAGTTTCCTTGGGAAAATAACGAAACAATATAATGCACTGTCTGTCTTTGTGTACATGCTATTCATAGTTTATTTAAAACATGAGGATAAACCTAGATCTCTTCCGAGGAGACGAATATACAATCCGAGGATAAATTTAGATCTCTTCCGAGGAGAGGAATATACGATCCGAGGATAAATCTAGATGACTTCCGAGGAGACGAATATACGATCCAACGTTAACTTAAGAATACTCCATTTAATGATTTAGAACTTTATACACCATGCTTAATGAAATTATATAACAAAAGATAATGGTTGCAAATGTTTATTTTAATTAAAAGAGAATGAATCATTATGTAACAGAACACTCTTCATGCTCCAAATAAAATGGAGAATCCTCACAAATAAAGGGAAGTTTTAGTCCGTCTTCTCCTGTATAGTACGTGTAGTTTCTCTCAGTCACCCAGCGCCACCTGCCGTCGTTATGATAAGTCAAAAGGAGGCCAAAGATTGGGTCAACTGCTGTCTCGCCCTCATCGTTAGGATTCCAGTTCTGATACGTCACTGGTGTCCAATTATCAAAAATGAGTCTTTCATTGTCGTCAAATGTCAAAACATTGGCACGAAATGCAAATGAACCGTTGAGATCAACTTCTGCAGAAAAGGACAAGAAAAAATTATATCATCTTCAAATTTGAAACACCACTGATACAATATGAGTTGTTGCTTTACATCCTGAATGCTCTAAAAATTATAAAATTTGATCCGCTGTATCCAAATTCAGTAGACATTTGAAGGGAAAGTATTCTCTTTTTTGCGTCGTGGTATGTGTAACAATAGAATATTTTCTAACGAGCATAAGCAAACCTAAGCCAAACTTTATTTCAATTTGAATAACAAAGGAATATAATGTTTATGGGTGAAATTAGAAATAAACAATTTTGATACACTGCAGAAATATATTTTCCAGATTTAATCTGCAGATTTTTATTTAAAGTTTAAAATCAGATTTGTAGAAAGCAAAAAAAAAAAAAAAAATCTAAATAACTTTTTATCAAAGGTGTTAAAATATAATCTACATATTTCTTTATTAAAGAGTATAAATTTTTAATCAATTGCATTGTAGAGAAATTTGACAAAAATATATTTGTTATTGTATGCATTGTTACCCAGGTGTATAAGGTTTACGTCTTAAATCCTTCTAAGAAACAACAGCATGCAATAACAAGATGTGTTTGTGAAACACTGATGCCGCCATATGGCAACATGCCGAAGGATAAGCTTTCTCAATTGCAGATCAAATACGTTGGTTACCAACTAAACTCCACTAAATCGAAAGCTATGGGCAAGTTTTTGCGTACAAACGGACAAACAGACAGACACACGAAGAGAGAGAAAGAGAGAGAGAGAGAGAGAGAGAAAAAGAGACAGACAGACAGAGGGAAGGACACGACAGACACACTAGAGAACCCCGAAACTTTGTTCACGCGGGCATAAAAATGCTTTATTAACCACATTGGATATAGTCAAGTTATCTGATAAGTAGATTGTTTAAATACCCGAATGGAAACAACCATATAATGTATTGTTCAATTACCCGCATGTATGCGGTTTACGCCTAAAAGCCTCCCATATCCGTCTCCATACCAGATAAGAAGCTCTTCACCCGGCTCTACGTCACGTGACGTCATATAGAAGACGAGGCCCTCGCACGTGATAGTAACATTTTCCTGTTGATATTTGGCGGGAGAATTAACGAATCGTAACCAGTTACTACAGGCCGGATCTTCTGCATCTATGTTGTAAGTACCATTTGTCCCCTGCTTATCTACCTTTGAAAACAATAAGATCCTAATGATTATGAATGAATTTTAGTTCAGAATATGTTATAAATTTTATACTTGAATCCAAATCAAATCCATATTGATCAAAATTACTTAAAGGTAAAGAATATTTAGGGATTAAAAGAATCTGAAAAATAAAACTTTGTGAGAGTGTTGTATTTGTAATATCAGTCCCCTACCGGCAAATTTGATCTGGTTCCCTCTAAAAGTGAAAATTTTTTTTAGAAATCATTGAAGTGGAACAAAAATAAAATAATTATCTATAACTCATTAAGGTCAAGCAAAATACACAGAAGCTGGATGGACGGATAAACAGGCGGACAGGTGGGGGACCAAAGCAGAGGAAACCTTTAGTCCATCGGGTTTCACCGACAGGTGACTAGGAATATGTTACATAAATATGAAAATTCATTTCGTTTTCATACAAAAAATCAGCTCAAAATCTGTCAGTGTTTACATATAGAAAAAATGCAAAAAACAAAGTGGGACAGACAGACAGAGTTGCAGAGAATAAGCTAAACCGACAGATATACAAAAAGACGGGCGAGAGGATGGATGCACAGAAAACATTTAGTTCTTATGGTTTCACCGAAATCTTCATTAGGTTTTCATTCTGTTTGATTCGTTTTATAATTTTATCTGGCAAGAATAAAAATCCTCTTTCTTGTCTACAGTGTGAATAAAAATCCTCTTTCTTGTCTACAGTGTGAATAAAAATCTTCCTTCTTGTCAACAGTATGAATAAAAATCCTCCTTTTTGTCTACAGCATGAATAAAAATCCACCTTCTTGTCTACAGTATGAAAAAAGAAATCCTCCTTCCTGTCTACAGTGTCAATGAAAATCCTCCTTCTTGTCTACAGTGTGAATAAAAATCCTCCTTCTTGTCTACAGTGTGAATAAAAATCCTCCTTCTTGTCTACAGTGTGAATAAAAATCCTCCTTCTTGTCTACAGTGTGAATAAAAATCCTCCTTCTTGTTTACAGTGAATAAAAATACTCCTTCTTGTTTACAGTGTGAATAAAAATCCTCCTTCTTGTCAACAGTGTGAATAAAAATCCTCCTTCTTGTCAACAGTGTGAATAAAAATCCTCCTTCTTGTCTACAGTGTGAATTGAAATTCTCCTTCTTGTCTACAGTGTGAATAAAAATCCTCCTTCTTGTCTACAGTGTGAATAGAAATCCTCCTTCTTGTCTACAGTGTGAATAAAAATCCTCCTTCTTGTCTACAGTGTGAATAAAAATCCTCCTTCTTGTCTACAGTGTGAATAAAAATCCTCATTCTTGTCTACAGTGTGAATAAAAATCCTCCTTGTTGTCTACAGTGTGAATAAAAATCCTCCTTCTTGTCTTCAATGTGAATAAAAATCTTCCTTCTTGTCTACAGTGTGAATAAAAATCCTCCTTCTTGTCTACAGTGTGAATAAAAATCCTCCTTCTTGTCTACAGTGTGAATAAAAATCCTCCTTCTTGTCTACAGTGTGAATAAAAATCCTCCTTCTTGTTTACAGTGTGAATAAAAATCCTCCTTCTTGTTTAATAAAAATCCTCCTTCTTCTCTACAGTGTGAATGAAAATCCTCCTTCTTGTCTACAGTGTGAATAAAAATCCTCCTTCTTGTCTACAGTGTGAATAAAAATCCTCCTTCTTGTCTACAGTGTGAATAAAAATCCTCTTTCTTGTCTACAGTGTGAATAAAAATCTTCCTTCTTGTCTACAGTGTGAATAAAAATCCTCCTTCTTGTCTACAGTGTGAATAAAAATCCTCCTTCTTGTCTACAGTGTGAATAAAAATCCTCCTTCTTGTCTACAGTGTGAATAAAAATCCTCCTTCTTGTCTACAGTGTGAATAAAAATCCTCCTTCTTGTCTACGGTGTGAATAATAATCTCCTTCTTGTTTACAGTGGGAATAAAAATTCTCCTTCTTGTCTACATTGTGAATAAAAATCCTCCTTCTTGTTTGCAGTGTGAATAGAAATCCTCTTTCTTGTCTACAGTGTGCATAAAGATCCTCCTTCTTGTCTACAGTGTGTGTCCTTCATAAACAAAATCGTGAACTCGGAACTTCTTGCCCATGTGTCCCTGCTCCCGGAAGTGACGAAGATTTAATGGCAAATCCTAGAGGCGTGGTCTTGCTCTCAGTGTGGCAAGGAACCTAGAAAATCTTACATGTACAAGATAATGTCAAGGACACGATACAGTGTGAGCATAATTTTAAGTATAATCTTAACTGCTTACATAATTGCTTTAACTGCTAGTATGTCATTTAGATAATGACAAAGTCGGTAAAATTCTATTGTAGAGAAACTGAATGGTAGAGGTCTAGCATTAAGGAAGCTGTAAACACTGCACACAAAAGAGTTCCTTACGTCACCGATCAGAGACCTTCAATGTATGGACCAGGTTAGTGTGTTTTTGTGTTATATCTGTTGATGTATTCCCTGTGTATATATATACAGTCAAACTTGTCTTAGCGGCCACCCGAAATCAACGGCCACTCGCGGTCAGCGGCCACTTTCAGTTCCCCCCGACGATTTTTCCTATATATTTTAACTGGAATAAACGGCCACCTGTGTAACGCGGCCAGCGGCCACCCAAATCCTCCCCCAAAAGCCTTATTTACACTGTAATAGGTGGCCATTTCGTCACTTGTTGCGATCCTATCACATCTTTTAAACGCATTGGCATGGGTTATTATATCCTCGATAGTCAATTTAACCTATTGATGTAATTAAAGAAATTGCTTTTAGATACGCTGGACTCTGTGTTTATGAAAAAGAATTTTGTCCTGTTAGATTAGTTTGTAATTATTTTTCAAGAACGCCGATTGAAGAATTAAAAGAATTTAATTACAATTGATACTTTCCTCTAGCTAAAGAAATTCACACCTTTTAGATTTTGATTCCATGTAGAAGCCCTAGATTCCTACTCTTGTAAAAACAAAGTGCTTCATATGCCATGATTATCTCGTGAATTTCACTATCAAGAGACGATCGATAGGGATTAGTTACGCTCTACTGCACGTGACACCTGTGTTATGGAATGAATAAATATGCGTAAATACATCTCTCTGGTCAACTGGTTAATTTTATTTGTGTGTCTGTGTATGTTACATAGAAATTCTGACAGCTTTATAAACAATAATATTAACCAGACTTTAAAAACATCAGCAAGTAAATTAATTACCTATTCATAAAGTGGGGGGGGGGGGGGGGGTTACACTACTGACCTTTTTTTTTAACATATGAAAGTGAACATATTCTTACTTAAATTTCTATGCTTTATTTTATTTACCACTAAACTGTATTTTTGTGTATTTTCTTCTTTATAAAAAGGATAATAGTCAGGCACTGTATGTCTTTCTTCAAATGAAAATTAAAAGAATTTATTGAATATTTCAGTGTAACAAAAGCACACTGATGAATGCAAGATTTTTAACTAATATGTAGGAACAGAAACATGCACAAAACCATAAACATTTTGAATTCTTTAATATTGTTTTTAAATAAAATTGAATTATTATATATACACATAAAAAGCTTTTTTGAAATTTACCTGTTTAATTATGATTAATTAATTTAACTGTAGTGCTTAATGTTGTTTATTGACCGAATGTCCTTTTCGAGGGCAAACTGTGTTATATCTAAGTGGCCAGTTTGTATTCCCAAAGGTGGCCTATCAAAATATATATATATTTAAAATATGATATGTTTGGCATTTGTAGAATATATAACGTGAGAAAATTAACACGATGCATTTTTAATTTTTGCTGTACATACCTTTGCATTAGGAATGTGTTTATATTTAGAACTTTGTACACCATGCTTCATAAAATCTGCAAAAACTGGAAGAAGAAAAATATCAATTTGAATATTTCCTTACTTTACACGTTAGTCTATTGAGCTCGCTATAAATTTTCATCTCTGTCCTCTGAAACCAGCGTAAACCTAATTCTCAGGACAATATCAGGAATACACAAATGTTTTGTCGAAAAAAACAAGATATTTTTCACATAAAACATGTTCAAAGTGTCTATCCATGAATATACTTTTATTAATCAAGTGTGGATAATCTTTATTATCATTTTGATAAGAGACAGATTTTATATCTGAAGCTTTTTCATATAAGAGATATGATTTGTATCTGATGTATCATTATAAAGAGAAATGTTTTTATCTGATGTATCCTTGTATGAGAAATAAGCTTTATATAAGAAAATATTGTCATTGTATATAGGGTTATTTTCGCCAAGTTTTAATTTCACACTTTTGCACTTGCAAATTATTTTGCCCCGTTTTAAATTCGCCCTGTCATAATTCTGTTTAAGAAATCATACTATGTCATTTAGATTCGACCCGTTTAAAATTCGCCCAGTTGTAACGTATTTACAATTAATCGAAGGGATCGTACCTGGTCATTTCCAGGGCTTGGGGTATTCATTATTAATGATTGAAAATAATTATTCAGCACGGACAGTATATGTGATAGTGCTTCAACCACTACACTCACTGAAAATGCCTTATTCAGGACGGACAATGAGTATAGCGGCCTGGACGACGGACTGGATAGCCAATGCAGACGAACCTCAAATGGCCTTCCAAATTCACTCTTTTACTGAACAAACAGGCGAGGAATTAAGGTCAGACGACACGTTCCTCAAAAATATATAGTTTTTTCCTAAGAATTTGCCATTGAAGTATAGGTATTAAAACACGTTCCCTCACAAAAAATTAGAGTACCTTACCAGGCATTTGGCCAAGATACCATAGGTTCATATTTCTTATATAGCCCTTAGGGATAATCTTCTAAATTTTATTATGCTTGAATGTGCATGGGGTATTGTCCTACGGCGCAATGACAAAAAAAACAAGGTTTTATTAAAGAATTAAATTCAAAATAAAAGTTTTAAATACATAAGATTTGGATTAAAATTATCCTAATTCAATGTTAATTTAACGCCACTAGGTAAACAACTCTTCATGTTTCCTATCAGGAGAACAATGATGTTAATAAACCGCCACTAGGTAAGCAACACTTCATCTTACTGATCAGGGGAACAATGATGTTAATAAACCCCACTAGGTAATCAACATTTCATCTTACTGATTAGGGGAACAATGATGTTTATAAAACGCCACTAGGTAAACAACACTTCATCTTACTGATCAGGGGAACAATGATGTTAATAAACCCCACTAGGTAAACAACATTTCATCTAACTGATCAGGGGAACAATGATGTTAATAAACCGCCACTAGATAAACAACACTTCATCTTACTGATCAGGGGAACAATGATATTAATAAACCGCCACTAGGTAAACAACACTTTATTTTACTGATAAGAGGAACAATGATATAAATAAACCGCCACTAGGTAAACAACACTTCATCTTACTGATCAGGGGAACAATGATGTTAATAAACCGCCACTAGGTAAACAACACTTCATCTTACTGATCAGCTTGCAGGGGAACAATGATGTTAATAAAACGCCCATTAGGTAAACAAAACCTAATCTAACTGATCAGGAGAACAATGATTTTTATTAAACGCCACTAGGTAAACAACTCTTCATCTTACTAATCCGGGGAACAATGATGTTAATTAAACGCCACTAGGTAAACAACTCTTCATCTTACTAATCAGGGGAACAATGATGTTAATTAAACGCCACTAGGTAAACAACTCTTCATCTTACTAATCCGGGGAACAATGGTGTTAATTAAACGCCACTAGGTAAACAACTCTTCATCTTACTGATCAGGGGAACAATAATGTTAATTAAACGCCACTAGGTAAACAACTCTTCATCTTACTAATCAGGGGAACAATGATGTTAATTAAACGCCACTAGGTAAACAACTCTTCATCTTACTAATCAGGGGAACAATGGTGTTAATAAAACGCCGCTAGGTAAAAAACACTTCATCGTACTGATCAGGGGAACAATGATGTTAATTAAACGCCACTAGGTAAACAACATTTCATCTAACTTGTCAGGGGAACAATGATGTTTATAAAACGCCACTAAGTAAACAACACTTTATTTTACTGATCAGGGGAACAATGATGTTAATAAAACGCCACTAGGTAAACAACACTTCATCTTACTAATCAGAGAAACAATGATGTTAATAAAATGCTATTAGGTAAACAACACCTCATCTTACTGATCAGGGGAACAATAATGTTAATTAAACGCCACTAGGTAAACAACTCTTCATCTTACTGATCAGGGGAACAATGATGTTAATTAAAACGCCACTAGGTAAACAACAATTCATCTTACTGATCAGGGGAACAATGATGTTTATTAAACGCCACTAGGTAAAAAACACTTCATCGTACTGATCAGGGGAACAATAATGTTAATTAAACGCCACTAGGTAAACAACTCTTCATCTTACTGATCAGGGGAACAATGATGTTAATTAAACGCCACTAGGTAAACAACAATACATCTTACTGATCATTGGAACAATGATGTTAATAAAACGCCACTAGGCAAAGAATACTCCATCTTAGAAAAAAATATTCTTTGATATTTCCTTGAACATTTGAAACGGCTATAAAAAAAAATTCTAAGAGTCGCTTTTATTTTTAAATATTATTTAATTGTTCTATTTTTTTCAATTTTTAACAGATGGATATTCAAACTGGTTATACTGAAAATTTACAAAGACCGCCCATTAGTGAGATGAAACATTTCTCATAAAAAAGAAAATTTTTAAAATTCGTCATGGGATTCTATTCCTTTTTTCAATAATGTTGATTATCCCATGTTAACCCTTTACCCCGTTCATATAGCTCATGTCATATTGATTTTGTATCCTACAGTTGTGGGTCATCATGGGTTTGCCAAAGAAAGTAAAATAAAGTGGAGTCCCATATATACAAGCCTGTGTAAATAATGGATTGTGAAGTATTAAACATTGGATGAAAAGAATTTCCCATGATTTCTTTGGTTGGATATGATCAGGGATAAAAATCACACAATTTGTTGGATAAAAATAATATCCAACTACAAATCATGGGAGATTCTACATAGGTCAAATAGAAAACATTGTGAAGGATTATGATTTAAGTAGGTTTGGCGGTTGAACTATCTCCTGAAGGAATAAAAGTTTCGTTAATTTTCTCTGCCGAATGTCTCAATAAAAGCTGTACATTATTTGTGTTGTAATAAATTGAAAATCAGATATGTTTTGTTCTTTTTTACGAACACTGCGGAATGAAGATGTCTGGACAGAGAATTAGAATAAATATCGCTTTATTTAATGCATCGTAGAGTTTAGTCTCGCACCTTTACTTTCCGTGAATTTCAACATTAAATTACATTGTCCTTTTATAACATTTATCCAGAAGTGTATTAGCCCTGATACGGACGTTTTGGACTTGGTGAAACAGTGCCTAGGAAGTAGGGATGTCTCGCCCTTGAGGCTGATATATCTTTGTCTCGGCCCGTTGTCAAGGGGCTGTCTCGCCCTTAAATTTCAAATAACTGCTTCTGTTTAATTTTTGTGAATTAAGAGTAAAAGTCATATTCCAGTATTAAAACATTATATATCGAAAAATTTAACAAGGATCTTAAAAAATTATTTATTTAAACTGTAATTTTGAGAAAATTGGTTTTAAAAGAGCACCAAAAATATTACTTGTTATGTAAGAGAAGTAATACTTTTTTACTTTTAGGACAGCAACAAATCATGTTTTGGGAAAAAATGGACGTTGATTGGCTTTGACAGTAAGACAATACCAAGATCCCATTAAATTATTAATTTAATATACTGGGTATATCGTAACCAAATAAACAGTCCCTTTAAATTTCAAGTTTACAACCTGTAACAAATCGTTGAAGTATTTGTAACCCCGGTTCGATCTAAAGTGAAAGAATCTTTTTATCTAATGTGCTTCGAAATGATGTATATTTATTCACCGTCAAGCAACATCTTCAAGAACATCTAAATGAAGAAAGATAATTTTAATTTTCTTACTAAGAAATTATATAAACTTTTCGATAGAAACATATCTAAATAATTGTTCTTTTCTTTGGTTTTAGATATATGATATGAACAACATCAAACCACTGTTAAATTTATTATAATTCAGAAAATTATAACTGGAGATTATTTACTTTAAACCAAGTGGTCTGGTAACTTTGCTAATACATAATTTATATTTATTAAAGAGGTCTACTAGAAGTAACATATTTTTGATGCAGTGACGAGGAATTCTGAATAGAAACCATAACATCGCTCAGATCAGATTTTCACACTGTAGGGGGAGTATATCAACCTTAGGGTTGAAAGGTTACATGTCAGTGGTAGTGGTCGTCAAGGTACTGTCGTAGAGTTATGACAGGAGTCAATCAGACCCCTTCGTTTCTCCTTTGAGTGAGATTCAGAGTAATTTCGATACTACCATGAGTTAACAGTTTACTTATTTAGAACAAATGCTGCAGGATCTATAGTGATTATGACAAATCTAAACAGAAATGCTCAGTGATCCTGTAAATGCCAAAGGACCTAAACGAAAGGAATAAGAACTAAACAAGTTTCATGCAGAAATAAAGCATCGCAAAAATACTTGATTCATTTTAAACAATTATTCAAATGTAATGGAATAAATGATATTTTGATAAGAAAAAATGTGGAAACAAATGTTTTTATGAGAATCAAATTGCATTTATCTGTCATATTTAATAGTTTCGTAGGCATTTAATTTCGTTGTTTTGAAAGCATTTCTAGTCAATATATAGTCATATGGAATTCCTGGTGAATGGAACACAGGGAGATAACGAACGATATCCAAGATTTAAAGTTCTTTAAAAAAAATAGTACAAAACAGACTTGGAGCAAATAAGAACCTCGTTGGAGGTGGGATCAGGAGCCATTGAGGATTTAGCATCCCCTACCGACCGGTCCAATCTACCGTGTGCGCCTTCTCATGATCGGGATCCGTCATCAATTCAGTGTATCGATAATGAACTAAGTATTGTGTGGTATTTAAAATCGTTAATTGTAAACGAATAGGGTGTAGAACAGACAATTAATTTGAACATCTTTTGAATATTTTAAACTTGGACGATATAAATATAATAATCATTCCAGCAATTAATTGTTTACTTTATAATTTTTAATTCATTAAACTATAATTATCTTGTTAGAACAAATTGGATTTTGTTGTTGTTACAATGAACTATAATTTTGTAATGGAATTGATCTGAAAAGACCAATCGAGCCCATCGATACTAAGTAATAAAAATTTAAACGGAAATGCAACATTACTACATGTGTATATAGGTTCTTGACAAAGAGTAAATAAATTGGTGACTTTGAGGTAAATAAGTAAGAAAGCTTAGAGGCGAGAACTCCTGTGATACAGAGATAGGGACTAAGTCCATAAATATTACTGAGTAATTTATCTGCATTTTAGGGTGTTGCCATGTTGGGATTCATAGGTCAACGTACAGACCTACGAACAAAAAGTATGCGGCATGTAATAAGAGAGGCAATGAAATGTACTTTTTTTTATCCTGGACCATGAATGACCTCTCGAGAGTATTAATCTTGTATACAATCCTCTATATTTTTTTTTAGTTTTTAATAAAAACAAACTAATTCCTTATTTCTTTTTTAAAAAATGAATAATTCAATTCTAATATATATCAGTTTTTTTCTTAACAACTTTAAATAGATAAATGTCATTTATTTGTGGAAAATTAAAAGATTGAGGAGAAGATATTCTAT